AGTACCTCGAGATCACTATTGACTCTGCTCCTCCTGCCTCATTTGTTACCGGATCTTCCACTCAAATCAATTCACCGCTTGACTTTAGGTCTTATTCTAAAAGGTCAAAGGGGTCATCACATCACAGACTTAGAATTGAACAAGACTGCGGTTGAGGTATGGTTGGCAGAATTGGAATCTGTTGAAAATCGGCGATACCTGCTTTCAAGAACGCTCCGTGGACGTGATCATTCTTACGAGCTCTTCAACGGCATTATGAATGCTCCTGAAGTTATATTTATCAAAGTAGTAAGTACTTTCTCATATCTGATTCTTGGAAGTTTTTTAATTCTGCTTTGATTACATGGTTAGGCACGAATGAGAAAGGACAACTTCATCATGCTTCTTCATAAGATTGAAGATAGCAAAGTGTTTAAAAACAAATCCGGTAATCCTCAAGAACGAGTCAAATTGCAACTCTTGGTCACTCTATGCCATCTGGGGCTTTCAGGGAATGGCGGGCAAATTACACTGATAGGCCGACTATTAGGTGTTTCACGTAGGAGCTTGAATATGATCATTTGATCTATTTATTCTTATTGACTTCTCTTGTAATTCTTCCAGACGGCAGTGTCGAAAACTACACTTGGCGTTGTGTAGCCGCTATCCTTCAACTACAGCCTCAATATCTCCGCTGGCCGTCTCCACTTGAACGAGCGAAAATCAGGAATGAGATCGCTGAAAGATATCCAGCTTTGAGGGGATGTGTTGGCTTTGTTGATGGTACACTGATCCCGTTAGCTTTTGGTCCAGTTATTTGTAAGGAGGATTATTGGACTCGAAAGTTCTTTTATGCACTCAACTCCATGATCGTGTGTGATCATCGCCGACGTATCACCTTTGCCCGGCATGGTTGGTGTGGGAGTGTCCATGACCAGCGTGTACTCAGAACTTCTACTGTAAGTCTTCAAAATATTCTTTACTTTCATTTGAATCTGGGGCTGATGATGTCTGTCGATATGGTGTCACCCTGGGCA